ACAAGCAGAGTTGCTACATGTGCAAACTGCTAGGGTATATTTAGCTCAGAGATGTGGCAAGGACTGCCCCCCCCCCCCACTCCCTGCCACCTACTGGGGGTCAGGGCTAGGGAGATGAGAGGAGAAAGGATTAGAGACTGGGGTCTGACCACCTGGGTTACCAAACACTGAGGGAACCAAGTCTTTTTTCTGTCAAGAGGGGTTACACTGAGAGCACAGCATCATGCTTCCTAGCCCGGTCCTAGCCCGGTCCTGCAACAGGAGGGATGAAGGGGAGACTGAGGAAAGGACTTTCTGTCTGTGCACTTAAGAGATGCTAGGATGAAGGGTGCCTTTCCTGGGCTCACATGTGCCAAGTGCTGGGGAAAGAGGACTCAAAAAGAAGGGCCTCACTCCAATCTGTGGTGGATCTGCCTGGTACCATCCTCCCTCTCCTGGTCCAACAGGGGGCTTGACCTCCTTCCTCCCAACCTCCCCTGCCCTCATATGCCCCGCCCACTTCCTCTTCAAATACTCCTTTCCTTGTCTGATCCCAAGCCCCTCTCCCTTTTTTGTTGAGATGCTCTGTAGTCATAGCAACCGCTTGCTTCTCCCTGAGCCTGAGATGGCCTGGGGTTGAGACTTAGAACAGAGACGAGAACGGCGTCTTCCTGACTGAGCACAGAAGACCCCAGAAAGCTATTCAGTGACCCTGCCTTCAGTCAGGGGTGCTGGGCTAAAGTCCTTTCTCAAATCAACTCCCTCCTGCCAGTACCCCACCTCCTTCAACACACGTTCTCTCTGCATATTAAAGAACAGTCACATCTGGATATGAGGAGCGCCTTTCCCTGACCCACACCTGACCAGGGCTCCAGGGACTCAAATGTCCTGGCTCCTCATTTCTTAGGACTTGCCTCTACCCAACGCTGTCACAGATTCTGGGGGAGGACGTGGAAGCAGACAGCCGGCAGGGGGAGTGGGTGACAGCCTGAAGCAAGCTAGGAGGCAAGCCAGGCTGTCCCTGAATGAGATGACGCAGGCAGGCAACAGGGGTTGGTGCCTGGAGCTGGGGGAGGGGCTGGGCGGGGGCTGAGGGCGTGGTTACAGCTGACAGTACAGGCAGGAGAGGTCATGGGGTGTCAGCATGCTGGGTGGTTCCAGGCAGGCGACAAATGGCATGGGGGAGGGTGCCTGGAGAAAGCCTCAGACCCAGCTCACCAAAGCCGGGCTCCAGCAGCCAGCCACCTCCCTCCTCTCGGCCCAGCACCCCCATTACCTGGCGCACAAAGCTGTTGGATGTTGTATCCGAGGATGTGCTCCCGTCCGACCTTTTGAACCGTCCTTTCCTCTTGCTGTATTTGCCCTGGAGGAGCCAGGAAGGGACAAGAGTGGAATCAGAAAGGCCCCTTCCCAGCCCTTACCCTATCGGGCCAGCGCTACAGCGAAGCCTTGGAAATATCATTCCCTGATCTGAACAGCCCCCCATATTCTTCCTGAGATGGTACAGCCCGAAGGGGAGGGAGGGCCCAGACCACAGCCATGGGGTCAGGGGACAGTGCAAGAGAGCCCTCAAACTAAGCCAGAGAGGCTGGGAAGGGGAAGGCACTGAGGAGCTGGAGGCTCATTCGGCAGCAAAGCTAATTACGATGCTGGGCAGGCTGCAGAGGCCTGGAGGGAAGGGAGAAGCCGCCCGCAGTGCTGGGGTGGTGGTGGTGGTGAAGAAACCTGGGGGAAGTCCCTCTCCCGCTCCCCCTCGGCTGGAGGGGAGCAGGCTGAGTGTGCCTGTGGCCCCTAGAGAGAAGAGGAACTGCCAATTGCCAATAGGGCCCCGCTTGGCTTTTCTTGTGCCCAACTCTTGCTTTCCTTTTTTGCAGAGCGGGGAGGGGAGGGGCAGTTTCAGCCCTAGGAGACCCCACACTAGATTTCCGGGGAGGGGGGAGGTGTGTGGTAAGTAAACTTCTAACCCTGGCCCACTGCCATGGGGCATATTTAAGCTCAGCACCCCCTACCCCGGCAGGACTTTTTCTCAGGCCTCACCTCTCCCCAAGGGGGCAAGAGGGATCGAGCACCCTCCCACTAACCCCCAGCGGCCACTGCCAACATCCTGTCCCCATGGCACCCACCAGGCTGCATCGATCTAAATGCCCCTTGGCCCTGCCCCAAGATGAGCCTAGGAGACAGCTCCCACAAGCCCCTGGGGTAGGCTGGCTCAGTCTCACTGAGGAGGCTCCTGTCTTGGCTGGAGTGGACACTGCCAGCTATGTCCAGGCCTCCTGAAAGGGGCTGCTTCTTAGCCCTCTCACACACACACATGGACCCCTCCCCAACTCACACACACACATGGACCCCAGGCCAGGCCAGAGGAGGGGGTCATGATGAATGAGGGTTTAGGCCCTCCAAGCCCGTGCCCCCAGCCTGCATCCTAGAGTTTCTTTACCAAAGAAGGTACCTAAGCCATGACCAGAGTAGTATCTCTGGTTCCTTGGGCCCAAGTACCAGGAGGAGGATGAAGAGATGGCAAAGAAGGGCACCTGGGAACCCCAGAATCCTCCCTCCTATACCCCTCTTTAAACCAGACATACACCCTACCTCTGGAATTGGGGATCCCTACAAACTTAAGAGGATCACCCAGGAAGCTCGGACTCGCTCTCACACCACCACCCCAGGCTGGGAAAAGGGAGTGGCACCCGGAGGACAAGGGACAGCTGAAAGAAAGGCCAGTCAGCTGCCTCCAGGCTCCAAGGGGCCGGGGTGGAGGAGGAAGGTATTTTTAGGTCTGGCCTGACCCCCGCCACACACACATGCAGATTAACCACATTATCAGGGCGGTTACAGTTGCTCCACTCCGGCCACAGCCAGAAAAGAGTTAATGCCATCCCGGCCTTGGGGTGTTGCCAGATTAGAGAAGGACATGCCCAGAGGAACCAGCCCAGACCTTGCTCGTCATGCACGGGCACCCACCACACCCAAGAATGCCCCTTCCTCGGCGTCACCCGTGGGCACAGCTAAGTGTTCGTGGGGGCGGGGCAGCAGACCTCCTCCCCCAGGTAACACAGCTTCTTCCCCTCCAGGACAGTGAGTTGGCATCCATCCAACTTTCCAAACTTTGGAGGCA